TCTCTCTCTCTCTCTCTCTCTCTCTCTCTCTCTCTCTCTCTCTCTTGTATCCATACCAGAACAGGGCAATGGCCCGAATGTCACCAAGCTCAGATCCCAGATCTCTCTCTCTCTCTCTCTCTCTCTCTCTCTCTCTCTCTCTCTTGTATCCAGAAGGAAGTAGAATACTGAGCAATGGAGGATGAGCAGTGGAGGATGGAGGAGGTCCGGAGGAGAAGAAGAACAAGCAGAAGGAGCACTCTCTCTCTCTCTGCGCTGATACCAGATACTGACCACGCAAAGGTGTTGCCTTGACGCCGGTAGAGCGCTGAAGACAAAGCTGGAGCTATGGCGCCCCTAGGTGAGTCATCAGGTAAGTCCCAGTGTCGGGCCTCTCTCCCGCTGCAGTCTCCACTGCAGCCTCCACGCTCTCCACCTCTGGCCTACCGCAACTGCACCCAGCGCTGAAGACTAACGCAGCATAACGCTGAATGGTAGCTCACACTAAACTACCGAGTGAGAGGCAGACCAGTCTATAAATACTACTGCTCTGGCCTCTCCTAGGTCCTACTGGCCTAAACGTGAGGCCCATAACGAATGGCCTGGAAATCAATCAGGCCGTACACTTGGATCGAATCCGACGGTCCAAGTGTGACCTGGAAAAGAAAAGGAGGCCAGAGCCTGAACCGTTACCGGTACCAGGGCCTGGCCCGGCCGAACCTCGTGTGGGCCTAAAACGGTCCTCTTTCTGGCCTGAACCGACACAGGCCCTACTTCTGGCGCCAAAACTTAACGTGCCAGACCGAAACTAAGTCCCTACCCTTCTTACCTACCTGACGGGTCCTACTGGGCCCGTGAGGGGTCTACATATGCTACAGGAGAGGAAGACGAGGAGAGTGGAGGGAGGAACAGGGGAAAGTCGAACCTCATAGGGTCCTCAATACTCACCAAAGAGCAGACTGGAGCACATGTTGCCTATGGTAAGCGGCCACCCCTGCAGACAGGGCAGGACTGGCAGGTGTGGACTGAGGAAGCACCACATCAAATTCTTGCAGTTACAGTTGAGCATCACCGACCTCGGCACGACTGCCTAGCCGTGGTTCGTACCTTTGATCAATGGGAACTGTGCAACCATGAGACTACTGAGACTTGTGTGAGACAATGACATGGCTGGGATCTATGGAACACTGACACCATTTGTGGGACAATCACACCACCTGTGGGACAATGACACCAGCGTGAAACTATGGGAAAATGATAACACTGGGAACTGTGGGACAACAATGCCAAGCAGAAGCAAGAGGAAGAAACCAAGCAGAGAATGGCAAGGGTGCCCCTTTTTTGGGGTCACATTAAATCAGGAAGGAAGGAAAACAACTCATCGTTATCTTCGATGCCATACTCAATTGGGAGACTTCTTCTGAGGTCGGGCTCCTGATCTAGGTCTATTTTGCATGCACATAGAATGTAAAAGAAATAATGAGAATTATGAGAGTGTAGGCATTGCGGTTTTGGTAGTGATACTGTAATTAAAGAAGGAGATATTGTCAAACGTACTCGATCTGTTGTAGATGTTCCTGCAGGAAGATCTCTGTTGGGTTTTGTTGCTGATGGACTCGCCCACTCACCCACTCACCACCCACTCACCCACTCACCCACTCACCGAAATATACACACACCCACACACGGACACACTCTTTCCCCGCAGTAGAGCACGCCCCCGCACAAACACACACACATACCCCCCACCCCCTCAATTAGGAGTATCTACTGATGGAAAAGGTCAAGGAACTTTGGAAATACCTGATGGTAATGTGATGTCAGCACGTTGTGCATTGACGTGATGAAGCGACTCCGAGAAGAATCACGCAAACTTGGTGCGACCTCCAGTTTCTTGCTCAGTAGGCACTGTGTGAAATGACTCATGATAGTCAATACGACAGGGAGACGGTGGACAAGCTCAGTGTCGCCCTCGGTCTCCACAACCACTAGCTCCCCGTCATTCTTACCTAAGATCTTTTCAGTTGTCAATGCCAGACTCTCAACCACACCGGCAAGCATCCTTCCACGTTGCTCACTCCAAATATCTGATAGCCACAGAGAAAAAAGCAATACAAAAGGATAGCAATGGGCAAAGAGATGAGCGGATGGGGGCAGAAGTTCACATAGGGAATACAGATGCATGACCAATTCCCTGGGCGACCAAACGATCTTAAAGAGTGAGGTCCTCAGTGCAAAACTCACCAAATGTGTAAATGGCGAGCATATCTTTGGCAAGAATGTGGAAAGATACAATCTCTGTTAGTTTGTCTTTCTGGCAAATGGCAGTGCTGGGTTGAGGCCCAGACACAAGTAAAAGAGATGTGAAAGAGATCCAACCCAAGGGTTACACTGCATGACAAAGCGACAAAATACTGGAAAGGACAAAAGGTCGGCGCATGTGCACACACACACACAACCGTTTTTATACATGTCCTCCTTTCTTCTTTGTATGCCCTTCCTCTTTTTTGTATGCCTGCCTGCCTTCTGTCATCCATGTGAGCACCTTGGTAGTGCCAAATAGTCAGTGGTTGCTTGTTTGGTGTGCCTATAGCACTGTTAGGGGGGCCACTCTGTCCGTGACGTCTGTGTGGTGCATATGGTCTATGGGTGATGATAGACGTTCGTCGGAGTATTACCTTGCACTGACGCGTCAGGAGGCTGAACCCTTGACAGTCTTCAGAATGATGAACTGCTTTGATTCCAGTCGAAGTGATCCCTGGCTCAGCAGGTCGTGGGAACCAACAGCCTGCAGGTTCACTTATTGTGCGAGTGGGTGATGGACTGCTTTGCTCCATGTTGGATGTGTGGACTGCCTTGTCTGCGTTCACCCACTGCCTTTCTGGAAATCCTCCTTTGCATGCTTGTCCTTGCAGCTGGTGTGCTTGCCCTGTATTGTGGCTGCTGTGTTTTGGTGTTGCCTTGTGCTTCGCTGCGCTCCCTACTTCCTATGCCGTCTGCGCTCTTTGCTTGCGTGACATATGGTTTGGCTGCTTCGTTGGTGTTGTCTTGTGCTTCGCTGCACTGTTACAGTGCTGCGAGTCTGCTTGCATCATCTTTCCCGGCAGCGTGCTTGCGCGCTGTGTAGGTTCCGTTGCTGCGTTAGTCCTTCGCTATGCTTCGCTGCACAGTTGCCTAGCTGCCCATTCGCATGCCTTGGCTTGTCTTCCCGCAGCATACCTGTTTGCCTTGTAGTTTGGCTGCTCTGTCAGTGCTGCCTTGTGCTGCGCTGTGTCGTCGTCTCGCTATTTGTGCTGCAGGCAGAGAGTCATAAGGTTCGTGACTCAAAAGCACCAAGACGCGGATTTCGGAGACTGTCGAGAGTTCAGCCTCCTGATGCGTCCGTGCAAGTCCGGCAAAACAAACTGTTATCATCAGTTTTAATTTTTTTCAGTACTTAAGCTTATCTTGTTTCCTTGTTGCTATCTCTTCCCTATCTTATGTGCTTGTGTGCTCTCTGCCCTCCTGCCTCCCCCGTGCCCTGCAGCCTAAGTGTTGCTTTCCTGCTTTTGCCTTGCTCCTCTTTTCCTGATTGTTTCTCGTCTGCTGTTCTCTCCTTCATCCTGCTGGTCTTTTCCTTCGCCACCTCATGTCCTCCTGTGCTGTCTAACCTCCCGCCTGCACCGTGCCCTCCAGCCTATGTGCCTTGTTGTTGCGTGTTGTCCATTGCCTGGTTGCCTCCTGCTAGTCTTTTCCTTCGCTGCCTTTGGGAATAGTCCTGCTAGCCTATGTAATGTCGAATAGCACATGTCCCTACATATGCTATTCGTAGTGGAGCACCGAGAAGCATGTCATCGAGTAGCATGTCAACGTCGAAGAGCATATAGTCAGCAGGATAGAGAGTCAGGGAACACCGTTACGATTGGTAGTGGAGCACCGTGTAGCATGTCATCGAGTTGCTTATGTCGCTACTCTTCACGATAAAGACTAAGCATGTCATCGAGTTGCTTATGTCGCTACTCTTCACGATAAAGACTAAGTTTGCATGTATTAGCCTATGGTTTGAACAGTTGTGCCGCAGCATGCTGAGGCGTTCTAAGCACTACACATTACATACGAGACACACACAAGCATTCTCTCCCTTGCCATGTATGCCTCCTCGGATCTTCCTGTCTATTCATCATGCACTTTTTTCAAGTGCACTGTGGCAGAGAAATCAGACCAAACAAGGTAAACGTCTGTAGGTCTTGGCAGCATTCTTCCGGCTGAGCAATTTCCTCGGCATCCAATCATCCAAACACTCTATCTAATTTCACTCATCGAGGAATCAACAGTTCAACTAAGAAAGACAATTAAAAATTTGCATTTTGCCCCTCAAAGATGTGGTATTTTGTGATTTGGCCCTGAACAATACAAAATCCTTTCAAATACCTTTCCAATTGTCATCCAGCTTTGAAGATATCCATCATAATGTCAAGCTCCACTTTTGTTTTTTCGGCCATTCGAACTCAGGCCCTGCCAGCGCAGACCCTTAGCAATTTCCAAGATTCGACCAGCTTTTGCGTTCGGATTTTCCAGGTCACCACATATCAAAATCGGAAAATATGCACTGCTTACTGGAAGGTGGATTTCAATGAACGGCAGAATCCGGTTGGGGTGAGCCGCGGCATACAATCCAGTTGGATTGAGGAATGTGTGGTGGCAGAGGAGGAGGGGAGTAGGAGGGAGAAGATAGCAATGACAAGGGGGAGTGTTTCATAGAAATAAAACACACACCACAAAACACTAGCCTTCAAAGCCCTCACCCTGATTTCCCGCTTCCACACAACCCTCCCCTTCATGCATAGAGCCCTTGAACCGCCACACAACCCTCCTCTTCATCCATAGAGCCCTTGAACCCCATCCTCCCCACACCCCTCCTTCGGACGCCATTCCTCCTCCTCCCGTTTGCACCTTACTGTCAAAGGAAAACACCACGAATGAAATTAAAACCAGGAGGAGAATGACAACAACTAGGAGGGTGGAGTAGGGGGATGAGGGAGAAGATGATGTCGGCAAACTCTCAGCCATCCCCCTCCACACAGCCTTTCCCAGACTCCTCTTCATCCGCAGAGGCTTGAATCTCGCCTCGCCCTCCAGCCCTTTCCCCTTCACCAAGTGTTCCACTTCCTCCTTCCCCCGCTTTCTAATGGTGAATGATGAAAGAAACTCTAACAATCATTATGGGCATAAGGGAAAGTGAGAGAGAGAGAGAGGGAGGGAGAGAGAGAGAGAGAGAGAGAGAGAGAGAGAGAGAGAGAGAG